ACCGGGTGATGGGCATTGTTTTGTTTTTTTTTTCATATGATGTGTGCACACCCGGGTGTTGGATCCGGGTGTGCACACATCATTTTCCTTTTAATAATGGGAAAAAAGAAAAGTTCCATCATTTTATAAGAGCATTAATCACTGAGAATTGATGCATAATCTTTAAAATTAGTGTCTACTTGAACTTCTGTTGATCTATGTTACAGGGTTGTTAGGTATGCTGGGCCACGTGGACACATTCTAAATCTAGGACATGGTGTTCTTGTTGGGACGCCTGAAGAAGCTGTCGCTCATTTCTTTGATGTCGCAAGAAGCTTGAAGTATGACAGTTCTTTCCATCATAATAAAGTGGAGGAACCCAAACTAGTAGTTTGAGAGCATGATATGGTCTATCCACATTCAGCAAATTTGTTCTGCTATTTGCTATGCAGTTATTCATTGAATTTCACCTTATACCAGTAACGTGGCTAATTGATCCCCAATATCAAGGCCTTCACGTGCTTTTGGGTAAGAAAAATGTCCATAGTTTAAGTGATACCAAATGTGGTTACACTATTCAAGACATCTTAGCCCTGACGATCTTGATTCCATACAGGAGCCATGGATCATCAGGCTGATAAATCAGGCACTCGTGAAGTGAGGAACAATCTGGGGGCACAAGAATTTTTCATCTATCTGTAACTGCTGATACAACGTTAATTATTTTAGGTCCCAAATTCCAGTGGATGTTTAACTTCTATGTAAAAACTTCCTATCATTTTATCAATTTAAGCAGTGCTGATTGTTTAGACATCTCACATGCTTTTTATTTATTTATTTATTTCGAAGGAATTGATATTAAGACATGGCCATCTACTGTTGTTCATACTAGTTTAATTTTAATGTCACATCAAGTATGAAAACATCATTTTGTGATTGATAAATGGGAAGGAAAAGAAGAGAAATTATTCTTAAACTCAATGAATATGAAACTGTTCATCTTGAGAGAAATTCTTTTTCTCAATATTAAATTTATATCTTGAAGATAAATTATTTTTACAATATTGTCATTTTTTGCTTAAAGTCAAATATAAGAGTGCGATTCCTTGAAAAAGCACTTTATTTGATTTAAATTAGGTTCACCGAACTTTGTCAGTGATTGTTGAGAATCCTATGAAAAGCGTGACATTTTCAATGGAACTAAACTATTGAAATTGAAATCGACATTTCTTATTAGTTAAGTCACATCTGTCGTGTTTCACACAAAAAACGCGAATAATTTTGTACTAAACGACATAATTCAAAAGATTGTCCATATATAATATTCACAAGATCACCTCAAGGAATTAATAATTAGAATGCATAGAAGCATTGCATGAAGAATCATAATAATAGGTTAGAGCCATATGCATAAAACAAAATATGAGTTGCATCATTTGATCTAATTTCTCAAAGACTTCAATAAGCATGCATATTGCATCCAACAGACATATTTTGTGCGCACATATAGAAGAAACAAATGCATTGCACTGGCACATATACCATACCCTAGTTAAGAGCAAACTCCATTTTCGTAATCCCCAGTTCTTGGTAAACATAAAGTTTCATTATGATTCCACATAATACCTCCTAAGTCCTATGTTTCCCCATGGCCGAAAAAGAAAAGCTGTTAAATCTCAAGAAGCTAGCACTCCAAAGATCAAACTGAAGAGAGCAAAAATAACATATCTTGACATCCAAAACAAAGGGCAGTTATAAAAATAGGAGGGTAATGCTTGTCATAACATGGGAGGATATATACGCAGAAGAGAAAATTTGACATAAAGGGCTTATATAAGGAAAAATATATAAAGTTATATTCTAATTCCCCACTTGTATGTTGAGAATAATAATTGTAGCTAAACTTAAAACATTCTTAGCTACGTACCCCGCATGCGATAAATAAGGCAATTAATTTTACTTTCACTTATAGACCTTGAGCAAGGAATTCACGTACTAATTAAAATTACATATCTAACTTCGAAAAAAACACACACAATTCTGCGTTTTTTTTTTTTTTTAATTCATTTGTGGCCCATCCTTTTTTCAGTGTTAAGGCAAAACACTACAATATTAAGAGACCCTTAATTAAAGGCAAGTTGGCTTAATAAGGGATTCTAAAAACGGATAGAATAATGCAATGCAAAGATCAAAGACAGTCAAATGAGGATTTTAATGTTGCATAATGGAATAAAGATACATGTGACTATATATATTATGTATGCAAATTTTTACAACCTTCAAGAGGAATCCAATGACGTACTAGAAATTAATTTAAAAACATTACGAAGATGTACGACAACATTTAATTTTTCAGTACAAGTGGGGAATACCACCTTGATTTATTTTACAAATAGCAACAATTAAAGCAAGATTATCATATGAGCTTAGCAGCATTTTGTTTCAATATCTAATACGAAATATTTGGCTACCATGAATCAACCCACACAAGTCTAGCTAGGATTTGTGTGAGTTTTGTTTTTTTCTTTTTTCTTTTTTCTTTTTTGTTTTTTCTTTTTTTTTTTTTATCTTAATTAGATTGTATAATAGAGGTAATTTTCTCCAATCCCTTAATTCACCCCATCTGCATACTATATAATTTGAATTTAAAACCTCTTACTTCTATTAATTAGAAAGAAATAATCACTAAATTATTTTGATTGTTAGCTACAAGTTTATATTAATTAGTACCATATATGCTATAAAAATTAAATAGTTGGCTACCATGACCAACCCTTACAAAATATTTGTGTAAGTTTATATTAATTAGTGCCATATATGCTATACTAACTACCAACTATAGATCCCAAGGGATGTCTCAACAGGCAACTCACTACTAGAAATCCAATCATAATCAACAAAACCACATGAGTCAAAGCCCTTATTTCATCGGTGAAAGTGTATAAAAGAATAAGGTTGGTTGCTTTTTTTTTTTTTTAGCACATTGAATGATAGGTTATATAATAGAGAATAGTCCTTCTCTTCCCAAATCCTTTACCACCATTTTAAGATTTGAATTTAAGATTTACAATGTAAAAATTTGAGTTTCTAACCATTGGAATCCCAGGGAACAATTGGTTGCTAATAGGGAGGTCACAGCTGATCTCCTTGCTAATATATAGTTTCAACAAGGAAAGTGTATTAAGAGACTAAGGTAATTCTTTATTGTTGAAATAGGATTTCTAGAAGTGTTTAGAAACTTATTTGAACATTTCAAGTTTAAATCTTAAAATGGGAGGGAAGAGACTCAAAAGAAGGGAGAGCTATCTCTTACTATATTTTCAAAAAAGTGTGGTGCAATTGAGACAATATTAGATTGCAAAACAACAAACTCTTATATATAGTTTGCATTATTAGATGTATTAAGAAAAAAAGAAACCAACAACAACAAAGGAAATCCATAGTAGTGTAGCAAGGTACCTTTTATCCACAATATCATAAAAACGTTTGCAACATTTGCAATGCAATGTAATGGTCTTTGCATATATACATACACCCGAAAAATATATGTGATTGTTGATATATAAATTACAAACTTAGTTGAGACTTGAACTATGATTTATATAAAGGAAACATTTATAAGGGAGAAAAGGCAACTCACCTTTCTAAATCTCCCAACTTCTTGCTTCATTTCCTACGACTTGATTCTCACATATATAAACGATAAACACGCACCGTGCTATCTCTACCTAGCTATCTCGAGCAAGATAGAGATCTCATAGCTAACTGCGCGCAAACTCGAAGTGATCAGATTTTATTTAAGACCTGCAATATAATATAATTCATGGTATCAACAATTAATTAATATTATAAATAAAATAATAACCAACAAGATATTAATTGAGTTGATATTCATTAATTGAAAATATTTTATAAGAAATTAAAACTTCAAGATCAATAATTTAAATTCTTACGATATTAAACAGTTATTTTCTCAATGCAAAAAACCAAAAAAAAAAAAAAAGTGAAATAATGAGAAAATGTACATCTATTGCAGAATTTAATAATTAATTTTGGTTCAATGCTTCAAAACTTTCATTACTCTGCTGCAAAGCATTGTGGGGGTTAATAGATATATATAATAGGAATTATCAATCAAACACTTTTATAATGCAGACAAAGGTAATCCGATTCAGGTACAACACAATGGTCAATTCCATATAAAAATTATCAAATTGATTAAGGGCATTTCACATAATGGACTGAATTTTTTTAAAAAAAAATAGAAAGTCAAGAGAATGCTGCATAAAGATATATATTTAATATTTCATAGCTACATTTATAGGATCTTAGTGCTATATATCGTTATCATTTCTTTCCCCCCAACAAAAATTAAGACTCTGAGTAATCATTTTTGGTTTTTTATTGCCATCCTCAGATCTTAAATCAGATCTATATTATGAAAACAATACTATTATTATTAATATTATCATTAGTATTACAGAAAAATGTTTTTCAAGTCTACTTATAAAAAAAAAAAGATAAAAATATCTATAAAATTATTTATATACCTTAATAAATTATCTATGCATATATATTAATTTATTAATGATATTTTAAGTCCTTACATAGGTATTTATGTACTCTTTTTTTTTTAATGCAGGTCGAGAGCTGATCAAAATCTGCATCCCCTTATTATCATAATCATAATAATAATTATTATTAATATTATTCCCAAAAAGAAAGAACTTTTGTGATTTTGCACGAGAAAGAGAGAACAAGCTTTCTATAGTCATCATAGCATTTCAAATGTTTCTTTTAAGTTAAGGTCACTAATGTGATTTGTCAGTTAAGATCACTAATGTGATTTGTCTTTGTTTTTCCTCAAAGTAAACTATCAACTATACAAAAATTAGGGTTTTCAAGACTACTAGGGTTTCTATAGTCTAAAATTTTTATACAAATTAATACATATATTTGCAAGAACAAAATTACCACTTCAACAAAAGGAAAAAATTACCATTTTTCAGAAAAATCATAGGAAAGAAAATCAAGGTTGCTGCATAGGGAAGTTGGAGCTATCAACATTCGACTTCACTGGAATATTTCTCTTCTTCTTCTTTTTCTTATATGGAATTCCCCTTGCTTTAGCTTGAGAATCCCTCACTTCCCTCAAGTAAATCCGGATTGCGCCGCTTGCAAACGGATTAGTTTCAGGTAATCCACCATTTTCTTCATAGGCAGCTCTAAGCCGACCGATTAGTGCATCAAGGCTGCCCCAAGCTTGCTTCAGAGGACAAGTGCAGGGTCCTGGCGGCTCCGGCTGTCCAAAGAACACGCACCCTTGTAAGTGCACCTTAGTCTTGCCAAACTGGTCCAGGTACTGGAGAAATTCAAGCACTTGATTGGAGTTACACTGTGAAAGAGCCACCGGAGGTCGCTGGTTTCTCAAGTACTGACCAAAAGTGTTCCAGTCCCGCCGCTTCTGTGACTCATACCGGCTCAACTGCGGCGGATTATTCTGTTGATGATCAGCAGATGCTGCTGATCTTGATGACCCTTCTGCTATTTCTTTCCCTTTGTTGATAGACATCATGGCTACATGAGAGGGAAAGATTCTCTAGGGGAGGAGAGGAGGAAAGAAGCTGGAAGAGAGAATTCCACAGTGAGAAAATTAAGATATCAAAAGAGGATTGTCTCCAATATCAAATTTAGGACATTTTTTTAGTACAAATATCACAGTAGTATCGTGTATCAACGCGTTATAAGGAGTAAATAATATTTTAACACGTAAGCATAAAATAATTTAAATTGATTCTCTTTTATCAAATAAAAAATAATTCACTTTATCGTTGAGGTAGAATTATCATCACTTGTTATATATTTGACATGGTATATAACTGATGATACAGAAATTTTATGGAAAAGTGAAGAAAAAAATGAGATCACATCATGGGGCTAAATGAGGGGACAAGGAATGGGACCTATGAAAGTGCTTTAGCTCTTCTTTTTCTTCCTATAACATTATTTGCTTCCTTTAATTGTACTATTATCATTAACTATGCCTTTTATTTTATTTTTTTATTTTTTATATTAATCTTCTGAATTTTTATTAATTTAAAATTAAATCACATCAGATCCTATAACAAAAAAAACTCTCCCAACACTAATTTTTTTATTCATAATATTTGAACTTGAGAGTTTACCTAAAAAAAATCGAATTTTTTCCGTTTGAATCAACAAATTATTGATATTTTTTATTTGTTTATTTCTATATATTTATAATGATGCTTCCATCATCTATGCAATCATTATTGAGTGCATTAGCCTAATTAGAACAACAGTTTAAAAAAAATTTTCTGATCTGTTCTCTCTGCAAATAATAAGACTAATTCAAGACGTAATATACTGATTTAGAAACCGAAAAATCGACAAGACTAATTTGCATCTTAAATCAGAATGGGATTACATGATAAGAAGGATGACATTAATTAATAATTAATCATGTTTTCTTCTTGCTATTAGCCTTTCCCTTCATATATAGTAAGGAAATTTTTGCATAAATGTGTTTTTTAACAGTTTAATTATTAAAGCTTTTTTACTCTTATATTCAAAACTGAAAAATGACTTAAAATAATTGCTCGGGTGATCTGTTATACGTGGCATTTCCAGGTTTTCTTAAATCCGAAAAAAGCAACATTATAAAATAACAAAAAGAAAAAAAAATCTCTTAATAATCAAAAGATTGAGTGTCAGCTGGCTCAAATTAATTATATAGGACCGAAGGTAGCAGGGGCGGAACTATTTAGGGTGGGGATTGGGTATAGATACTACCATTTCTTTAAAAAATAGAATTACAAAGATTTAGGGCTAATTGTTTTTTCTTAGGTGTTTAACCATTGGAGAAAATTTACAATTAACATTTAGCCTATATATATATATAATAAAATCAATGATGGCACTAAATAAAAGCCATAAGTAAAAAAAAAAAAATTGAAACTGTATATACAGTGCACAATTAATGCACAACCTTAAAATCTACTTAGAAAAAAAAAAAAAAAAAAACTCGTTAGTTCACAAATTCATTGTTTGTTTTTGAACTTTTATTTTTGAGAGTTTTGACCTAGATGTTTATTTTTAATCATTGTAGTAAAATACAAACAAGTGTAATGGTTGGATCATCACAACTGATAAATCCTATATCATAATTGATATCTTGGTTCTGCACTTGATAGATTCCCAACAAAGGTCACTACTACAAAATACCTCTTTTTCGGACATACTATTTCGGTGAATTTACAAAAGAAGAGGGGTGGTTTTGCAGGAGGAGAGTTTAATGTGTGGCTTGTGTGATGGTGTGTTAGAGGAGGCTAACCATCTCTTTTGTACATGTAAGGAGGCTTGGTTGGTTTGGGTGAATGTGCTGCAGTGGTGGGGTATGGAGG